TTATGTAAATATAGTACTCTCTTTCTTGGCCAGAGTATGGACCTTATTTCATGTAGTACTCTCTTTCCAGGCCAGAGTATGGACCTTATATAATATATTACTCTCCTTTCAGGCCAGAGTATGGACCTTATATAATATACTCAAATTATATATATTCATCTTCAATTCACATAAACAGCTTTAATACTTCAATTAAACACATCCAGGTATAAACTTCCAGTGAGTACACTCACCTTGGCTACTTTTCCAATTATTTATTTTTCCTTCGGTACCGTCGATGTAGTTCGTTCCGTCTCCTTGCTTGAACAATATTATAACCATGTCATATTCATTTCTAAAGATAAATAAATAATACTCTTCATCTCCATAATAAATCTCAAATATTCTGCAATTCTAGTCAAAATTTATATTTATAATATTTAGATTAAATTTCACCCAATGGACTAGAGTTAAACTACAGTCATATTAATTTATGTGAGACCACAATTGAAGCTATAATTAAAAGTAGAATAAATGAAATATATGCAAGAATAATTACTTGAACTGAAATTTAAATACGAAACTTCCAATATAGAATTAGAAATACAAATTTCCTCACCTCACTACTTCCATACAGATAGCCCAACAATAGCTTATTTTCTTTTTTTTTCCTTTTCTCTCTTTCTTGTTTGGCTTAGACTTCTGTAAGCTTACTATGCTATATGAAGGTGTGTGCTCTCACCTCCTTAAAATAAACTCTTGGAGAAGCTTGAATATGCTTATATTATATTAATATGTATACTAAAATTGCTGTCATCAAATAGACTTACAAACCCAGCTCTAAAATTTATTATACCTTATCTATAGATATAGATAGATAACATCAATACATATCCATACCATACCCAGCCAGACTTGTATCTATGAAAACTACTCATAGAAAACTACTCAATCCAGAAAGAAGCAATGAAATTGTATAAAATATACTAACAAAGAACTAAATAGCTCAACTTATGAAGAATTAAGAATAAACTTCCGTATAGATTAAGATATAAATTTCTCTACCTTTAATGTAATACCATGGAAATTTTCCTTAATCTCCTTCTCTTATTAGTCTTCTTTCCCTCTTTTCTATTTTTTTTTTCTATTTCTTCTTCAACAGCTGAAAACCCCTCTTTTAGTGCTATTTCTTCTTTTGTTTTTCTTCCCTCTATTATACACTCTGTGGTTAATTGATAAACCCATCGATTGTTTGTAAGAAACAACTTCTTCTAGAAGGTTTAAAGGAAGTATTATATTATCGTTTAGCACAATAAACAAACAGCCTCCCAAATGAACATTGGAATTAAGTCTATCTCATTTATATACATATCCATACATGTAGGTATGTTGGGTGTGTTGTGCTGGCAGCATACCCAACCTTCATGCAATTATGCTACAAGTAGTCAACAAGGCTTTATTTTATCCATTAAAGTAATAAAATATATACTTACTTTTAATAGCTAAAACTTTACGTCAATTACATACAATATAGCTACATAATAAAGTGATTTCTAAGAGTTTCCACACAATCCAGTAATCCAATGCAATATAAAACTTGGCTGCTACAAGCTTAATTTGTAAGCTTTAAAAAAAATAAAACTTCACAAAACAACCACCCCACAAAAATAATAATATATAAATCATGTCTAATTAAAATAAAATCATGTTAATGAACTTAATTTTGTATCGGGGTCCTACACTTACTAAAGGGACGGGCTGAGTAAAGCTCGTAAAATTTAATTCCCTTATTAAAGGAGTGACGAGCTGAGTGAAACTCATACAATTTATTCCCTTACCAAGGGAAGATTACCCATGGGTACTAAAAATAGTACCCAGGGGCAGAGCACCCTAGGGGAAGAGTACCCAAGGGTACCAAAATAGTACCCAGGGCAGAGTACCCAAGGGTACCAAAAATAGTACCCAGGGGCAGAGTACCCAAGGGTACTAAAACTAGTACCCAAGGGAAGATTACCCAAGGGTACCAAAAATAGTACCCAAGAGCAAAGTACCCAAGGGTACTACAAATAGTACCTAGGGGCAGAGTACCCAAGGGTACCAAAAATAGTACCCCGGGGACCATTAGCCAATGGAAGGGTACCTAGGGGCAGAGTACCCAAGGGTACCAAAAATAGTACCCCGGGGACCATTAGCCAATGGAAGGGTACCCAGAGGGGTACTGTTCCCAGGCCAAGCAAAAAAAAAAAAAAAAATTGTTATTGTTCATATGAACAGTACCCGCAAGAATAGTACCCACGGGTATTGTTCCCAAGGCAAGGGGAAGGAAAAATAAATAATAAATAATAATCTTGTTACTGTTCATATGAACGCGGGTACTGTTTCCAAGGCAAGGGGAAGAAAAAAAAATAAAAATAAATAAATAAAATCTTGTTACTGTTCATATGAACAGTACCCGCGAGTACTGTTCCCAGGGCAAGGAAAAAAAAAAAAATTGACATTCCCAAAGCTAGACGAGCAAGCTTGGGAATGGGGGGCAACTGATAGGGAAAAATAACCTACCTTGACCAGCCGCCAAACCTCTTCGACATATTTCGTTATCAAAGATAAAGATTTTCCTTGGATAAGAATGATGACATTTCTTATCCAGGATAATGAATGACGACGTGGTTCAACAAGGTGAGAATAACATTGGCCCAATTTGAGAAAGTTAAAGGAGTAAATCTTATTCCCGACAAATCTGGTAACAAACGATCTAGTCTGATCTCGCACAAGCGGATCTCCCGTGGGATCAATTTAATTCCAATTGACAGCCATAAATAGGGCACCAAACTGTTAAAGAGGGTACGGAAAAAAAAACCCCTAAAGAGAATATACATAATTTTTATGTGATACGATTACAAGTACTAACTTGATCGTCGGAGGGTCCTCGGCCGGTACCCCATCGGTGCCATTCGAGGTAACGTCCTTTTGTTTTGCAGGTAAACGCCGTCGTTCCGAGTCGCGATGATTTCCGCATCAACACTTCCTAAGTTCTAAATTCAAATATAAATCAATTAAGTTATTAATTTTATAATTTTCTTTTTTTATTTCTAACTAAAAACACATGTAATGGTTTTTAATATGAAATAAACATTGTTTTTCAAAAATAAATAAATAAATAAATAATTTCTATTAATCATTATTAATGTTACCCCAATGAAATGAAAAAAAGAAGATAAATTCTTGTGTGAATTATCTGTTATAAAACTATCATCAGTTTAAAAGCCTCATCAAGCTCTTTATAAAGTAAATTTTCATTTACATAAACCTCAGTAAATTCTAATTAATTAGTCAGCATGAAATCAATCAAGTAAATTTCCATTTACATAAACCACATTAAATTCACATTTACTTTCTATTTTTTATATTTTTACATTTTCAAATTTATTTATTTATTTTATAGATTTTTCATTTACATTGGTATTTTGCTAACAGATACATCTAGTATTTAATTTTTATACACTTTTACTAATATTTTGTTCGTTATTTGCCTAAAGAATTTTATATTTTAACACATTTTTAACTTTTTATGTTTTGAAATTAGATTAAAAGTTTCTTGATATAATAGTAGGGAGTAATTTTTTTCTAATTTTAAATTGAATAATTAGTAATACTACTTATCTCACAAGACTACAATAATTAACAAGTGAAAGATTTAACCATGAGAAAAATAGTGTGAGTGAATCATCTCTTCCAACCTGCACGAAACCTAAACCATTATAATGGGTATTGCACGTAATTACTTGCAATTATATTTCAAATTTACCAAGTCAAAGTTATATTTTTATTTTATTTTATGTTAGACTAAGAGTTCTAATTACGTGCAATTGCACTTCCTTTTTATCTAGCATTTTTTTTTTACTAAGAAAAATATCAGGTATTGCATGTAAATAAAATAAAAGATTTAGTCTGATTCTGATATTACTTATAGAATCCGAGGACAACAATCTTACAAGAACTTCCGACATTCCATTTGTTTAGACGTAAAATATTTTTGAGAAAATATTTTTATTTTCTGGTGTTTGGTATTTTACGAAGAAAAAAAAATATTAAAACTTAACAAAAATAATTTATTCATAAATTTTCGGTAAATTATTTTACATATCCCGTCAAATGGAACATTTGTCAAACACTGACAAAGTAAAAATAAAAAAATATTTTACTTGAAAAAAATATTTTTCAAAAAGAATGTTTTACGTCGAAATTCGGTATGAAATTCTAATTGAAAATTAGAATCACACAATAAAAGCTCGAATATTATTTATCATAATATTCACACAATAAAAGGTTGAGTTTGACTCGGATATTACATTAAGGTATGAAGTTCGATTGAAAATCAAATTAAAAACTTGAACGCGTTGTTATTGGAGATTAAAATGAGGTTGGCGATGCTCCACCCCGTTAATTGTTGAAAAGACTTTTTTCAATGGAATTAGTTACGATTAATATTTAATGAGTCACGGTCCAAACACAAATAATTAGTCCAAACAATATTTAATGAGTCACAGGTCGAAGCAATTTGTAATAGCCTGGTATATTTTTTAACACATTATTACATTTCATTTTTAACACAATAAGAACAAAATAATTTTCATTAAAAAGTAAATATAAAATATATGTTAAAAATACATGCCATGCCGCTGAAAATCACTCTCCAAAATTGTATTTGCAAAGCATTGAAACTAAGAAATTCGAAGATAAATTACAAGAAGGCTTTATAATCTATTGGTTCGTAAGAGCATAATGATGACATTCAATGAACAGTTATAAATACTTTATTAAATAAAAATAAAGTCAAAAAAATTGATATATGTATTTTGGTGGTGTATTTGTGCCCTGGGGTAAATTGTAACCCATTTGTTGCATTACATCGTTATCCAACAAATAATTTACTGAATGGTGAAAATTAAAGTCTTCAGAGAAAAAAAACTGAGTGTGAAATTTGTATGTGTTTCTTGCCATTAAACATAAATAAATAAGTTGCAAGAATATCACCACGGATCATATTACTCCGTAAATCGAGTATCAAAATATAGATTGAAGTTAAATTTCTTGTAGGAAATATATATATATATATAGAAAATTTCAATCAACTTCCATCGTCAAATCCATACAAATTTTCATCGTGAATTTCGAGGAATGCTAATCCTAAAATATATCGAGAATCTCGACAATCAAACGGTTGCAGAGAGGACATGAACCTCGATTCAACCACAACTCCCTCGAACACACCCTGCAAAAAGTGTGCCCACATGGTATGAATGCTGCGCCCTTTTTCCTCCCCATGCACACGCAACACACCGAATCACACCCCCCTCCTTTCTCCTCCTTCTCTTTCTCTCTCTCCCCATCCACACCGTCCGATTCTTCAAGCAATCTCATCAACGACACCCTCAACGGTGTCCCCGGTACAGTTCCTGCAGTTACGTCGCTGTTGGGCCCATTTTCACTGGAACTCCTCACTGGGCTTTCACCTACTCCCTCCGGATCTTGGACCGCCCTGAAGTGACGCTCCGCCGCCAGCGCCGTCGCCAAGTTCATCCCCGGAGTCGCCGGAGTCTGACCCACACATCCCGGATCCGAAGTGTTCTCCGGCTGGGTTTGATCCACATCTATATTCTCGACTCCTTCTGTTTGCTGCCGTGGTGGGCCTTCCTCGTTCTCCTCCTCGTCCCTGATGTTAATGGACGGTGATCTGAAACCCCACGTGGCCCCACAACAGCCCATCTGATTCAATCCTAGCAGTTCTTTTAGAGACTTTCGCCTCTCCACTCGATCACCGCCGTCCATTCTCTCTCTCAGGAACTCCAGTATCGTCCTTGCTCCTCTTTCTCTCTCTACCCTTGCCTGCAAATCCAAACCCAAACCCAATATTTCACCCATTTTCCTCATTCTTACCATCACCCAGAAACCCAAATTACAAACTATAGCAAATTAAATCATAAACACACACACTGACACACACATATACATACATACATACATGTATAGACACACACACATATATATAAAGGAAGATATAATAGAAGGGGTTGAAGAGAACGTACTTGTAAGGGTGATGCTAATGCATAGAGATCACGTGAGTTTCTTCAAGAATGAGAAACCCCGCCACCTCTCTGATTGAATTCAATGAGTTATCAAAATTATAAACAGATATCATGACATGGGGTCCAAAGAAATTGATTTTGTAAAATTGGGAAGTCCATAAATGGTGGGAATTGTGATCTCATTGACAGCTTCGTCATCGATAAGAGGGAAGTGGCAAACAAAGACAAAATAGAAGAAGAAGAAGATAGAGATATAAAGATTACAAAATGAAAAAGAAAAGGTGGGTCTTTAGAGTGTATTATTGTTTATTTATTAGTGATTGTGGGTTAAAGAACAAGTTTGGAGAACTAAATCAACTTTGTTAGTATAATATTTAATTATCGATCTGTTAATGGTTTTTAATTAATGTTTTTGTGTTTTGGTAATGGTGGTCGCCAGCCAAAGGAAGTCAAAAGCCATTGATGCTGGCGCAAGAAACGAGGTTTTGCCATGTGGAACTTGCCATTAATATAAAAGATGGATCACATCACATTCATCAATAGTTTTCTATACCAATAATTAGTGTTTTATATATATATATATATGAGGCAAATCCTTACTTTTGTAAATTACTCTTTACATATAAATAGAATCTTTATTTTTTTTTGTAATTGATTTTTTTTCTTTCTCTTTTCTAAATATATACATTTGCTATCTTGATGGATTGAATATATTTTTATCATTTTAAATTTTAACGTAATATTATGAGATTGAGTTTTGATTAAAGTATAATTATAAAATTTGAATTTTAGAGAGAAATAAGATGGTTGGAATGATTTCACAAGATGATTATATATATATATATATATACCCATCAGAGAAAAAGAAAAAAAAAAATAAAAGGAAAAAGAATTTTAAAGGAGTTTTATAAAAATAGAAAAGATATATTAATTATGACTTTCATACTATTTCAATCAATCAGATATGCTACTAAAATTAATCTTTGTCATTCTATACCAATAGTTAAGTTTACTTCAAATATATGTTAAATATTTAAGAGGAGAGATATTTTATTTTCTTCAATTAATAAATTCTTATTGGTCAGAATCCGCACAAAAAAATGACCTTCTTTTGTAGGATTGCTCATAATTTAATTAGACCACCAAAGACCCGGTAGTTCTTTCTAATCTTTCAAAATAATAGGTTAATTACCAATATTTAAATTCCTAAACAGAAGGTATGAGTGTTCAAATTCTTACAAAAAAAAAAAAAATTAAGTGTGTGTGAGTTTTTTTGTTAAAGTAATGCATATATAAAGTGAAATTAATTTTTAAAAATAATTTTAGGGTGCACTATCATTAGTTTACTAAAGAAAGTTTCATAACTTTACTTTTAGGCAATTGAACAATTGTCCGGCAATCCGTCGGTCTTTGATCTCCAATAACTTTGGTGTCTATCGATCTTCAATATCTCAGGTGACTCTGGTGCCTTCGGATCCTCGTTTGTATCTCCGACTATGAATCTTCACTCTTAAATAAAATTCACATGTAAATAATATTTTGACTTGTATTATGTATATTTTTTTTAGGAATAACTAAACAACCTCTATTTTATTTATAGACTACCCATTCAATAGTAAATTAGTCATGCACCTGTGACATATTACGGAGTACTTGTTTTCCAAGTTGTACTAGGGGTGGCATCGGCTAATCCTTCCTAATCTTTGACTTCAATAGGGTAGTTTAATGATGTGCTAACTCTTAGCCTATTAAACTAGCTATATTAATTATTATTTATCTTTGACTTCAATATGTAGTTTAATAATGTTCTAATTCTTAGCCTATTAAACTAGCTATATTAATTATTTTTAACCCTACTAAAAAAAAAACAGAAATAACCGCGCACAAGATGTCAAGAACACGGATAATTATAAATAAATATAATTTAGTCCTAATATATCACCTCTATGTTAATAAGTTATTTGAATAAATATTACTAACAACCTAATGTCCTAATTTAACTATATTTTCGTCATCTAGGTTTAACCCGTTTGATCATATAAATCCTTTAGGTTTAACCCGTTTGATCATATAAATCCTTTTAAAGAGAATAATATATTAATAAATAAATACAAAAATAATTTATTAAATATAACTGTTAAGTTTTCTATGATCAAACAAACCAAACTAAACGAAAATATTAATACCACATAGATTTCTTCTTAAATAAGTTCTACAGCAATCAATATATTTATCAGCATCAATTTATTTTAGTAACAAATTAGGAAAATTACTCATGATAACGCAAGTAATTTTTTTATTAATAAGTAATTTGTTTGTTCATTTGGTTTTGAATCACTCATTTAGGTGATTAAGATAAAGTTAAAAAGAGAGTGTTACATTAGTGAAGTATAATGCCCAATTTTATTCATTCGAGTGTCGACATTAATAATTACAAATATCAATAATTTATACCTGCCATGCATATGTTTGTTTTCACGTACACGTTCATAAATCATTCTATCATAATTAATGAGCAACTAGTTCAAAACTTAACTACTATTTAATACATAAATTTTTCAATATATATGAAGATAAATAAATAAAATTTTATAAATTCTAAACGTCAAATTACAATTATTGACTTTGGAGGAACATACAAACCCTAACAATTTTCCATGTCAATCATCTAAGTATTACCTCAACTAGGAGCAGAGAATTTACGACTGTCCCTAACATCCATGCCTCTCATTTAATGTGATCATTTACATCTGTCATAAGTTTTTTCTTCACATTTAAGTTAAAAACATATCATACGACAACTTATAGTGTTACGAAAGAAAATGAAAGCTTCGATTTGGTATTTCATGACATGAAAAATTCTTGAAAATTTATGCATTTTCAAGGAAATTGGCAGAAGAATTTTTTTTATCAATTTATGTTTTGAAGTACCTAATCAACATACCACAATTAAAATTATATATATATAGTTCAATTCTCCACCTTGTTTCAGTAAAAAGCATATTTTTTATTTATTTTCTTTAACAAATAACTTCTTAGATTATACGCTGTCACTTCTACTTTGAAATAAAGAAAAATATCACGAATTCATATGCTTTGATGATTTATATAAAGTGATTTTTTAGTCTTTTTAAATTGGCATCATAATATATTATTTTTTAGAAAATGAAAAAGAAAAAGAGAGAGAGAGAGAGAGAGAGAAGCTGTTACAAGTTTAAACAATTCAACCCTACTTGAAGTCAAGAGAGAATAAAGAAAGTAATTGGACATGAAGTGGGGTTCACACTTTAATGGAATTACTGGGACACGCAAATGGTCCCACTTTTCCAGTGGGATTCAAATCTTATTAAAGTAGGCATTTTATAATCGTATAATGATCATACAATGATTACACTAGTGGGCTGCTTAATCTCTTTTTCATAGTAATTATATACTACTAATTGTGAATCTTTTATTTGAGAAACTAATTATTTACCCATTATACATTTGGATCAATTATTGACCCGCTTTGGTCTGCGGGGCCCAATCGGACTCGTTGAATTTCAATAATATAGATTAATATTAAATTGCCAAATTAAAAAGGTTATTTATTACTGTAGCACTTACAAAACAAAAAAAATTTCTATGTCAAAACTAGTTTTTGTCTTTTTGATACATGTTGTGTTAAATATGAAACTAGATCGCGGGGTAATCATTATTTTTCGTTTTATAAAATTTTGTTTAAGTAATTATCACCCTAACCAAAATTTTTATGCTAACTTTAAATTAAAATATTAAGACTTTAAATCCAAATTTAAGTCAATTTTTCGTTGAATAACTCTAGTTTGTCTTACATTGTTTTGTACTAGAACAAATAATAATGCACTTGGGACAAAAAAAAATAAAAAATAAAATAAAAAATAAAAATAATAAAATAAAAAGTGAGAAAGTGGAGAACGGCAAATGGTTTTTTTGTTTTCCCTCGAAAAAAAAACAAACTCTAAAGATGGTTTCAAACAAATTTAAAGATTGTCTTGTGCTAGCATTTTAAGGGGCACGTAGGAATGAAATAAAATAGAATATTCATTTTAACTATTATTTTGTTTGGTATGCAATATAAAGTGAGAATGACCATTTCATTGGAATGAAAATCCATTCCATAACTAAACCTACGGAATGGCCATTTCATTCCCAAATAATTTTTTTCTTTTTTTTTAATTCAACTTCCCAAAAAATATTCATATTCTAAGTTCAAAAATCACCATTACTTTCTACCACAACCACCTCTGTCTTGCACAACCACTACTACCACCACCATCGAATTTCACCACAGCCCATCACTTTCCACCACCACCACATTTAACCACTGCCACTGCCATTGTCTTTCGCCACGTACAGCCACCACCTTCACCACCGCTACCTTCCCCCACCACCACCACCACCACCACCACCACATTTTATCACCGCCACCACCACCGCCACCACTATCACTGCCTTCCACCACCGTCACCTCCACCATCACTGCCACCGCCTTCCACCACCGCCACCTCTACTACCTTCCACCGCCACCTACACGTACCATAATCTCCTTCCACCACCACTTTTTACCAACACCACTATCGTCTTCCACTATTACCACCGACACCGCCTTCCACCATTACCACCACTATTGCCTTCCAACACCACCACCTATACCACTACCACTTTCCACCTCCACCATTGCCACTGCCACCATTTATTTTTGAAAAAAAAAAAAAAATTATAAAAGAATGTCATTTTGTTAATTTAATTTATTTATTAATAAGAGGGATATTTTGGATAATTCAATTTGAAATTTATTACATTTTAAATTTTAAATTGATTCAACCAAACACTAAAATGGTTGTTATCATTTCATTCCTCCATGTTTTATATTTACAATCAAACAATAGAATGAGATTGACCATTCTCATTCTATTCTCACTTGCATTTCATTCTAGTCTTGCACACCAAACGTAACATTAAAGTAAAGAGAAATTCTCACATATCTTATGAAAAGGCTCTAACCTCTTAGGTGATATAAAGTCTGATTCTAATTGAAGGGATTGAAATGATTTATAATTTGTTGAGCTTGCTAGAAGAGGAGGGACTGGGCTAGAGGAGTAAAATAAATAAATAAATAAAATAAAAATTATAAAAAGCGAATATGGAAAAAATTTCACTTCCCCATACAACGGTTGTGTAAAAAAATGTGTATAAAAAAAGGTGTATAAGATAGAGAAAGAAAAAAAAATACTACATATTATTTAATAATATAAATATTTGGACTCATATTAAGTGTGTGAATTGGTTAGCGTTTACT